GACGTCGAGGCCCGCGTCGCAAGGCCCGGGACATGAATAAGCCAACGGGTAAAGGTGTGGTTCCCAGGCGTCCGCGGTAGGAAATCGCTCACTGGGGAAGAAAGATGGAGAACAGAAGCCAGGAGCGAACCAAGACGTGATTAATATAAAAGTGGGCGGAGCCTGGCCTGGCCGGAAGTGGCCGAAGAGGGATGCTGTGCCGTGCCAAGCAAGCGCGAAAACGGGGGGGCTATGCCGCCGCAGCTGTGCTGGCTCTCGTTGCACTCCGTATCCGTGTGATATGCATCGTGGATGTGTGCAACCGCGCGCGTACTCGGCACGTACGTCTGAACTGCCGGCGGAGGAGGTGAGAAAATGGGCGAAGCCAAGGTGGCGGGGATGATGCGAAATATATATCACGATTGACGCGCACACCACTCTCTTCCCCGCGGTGGTCGGCCTGATCGTCCCGACGCGACCATGAAGAAGGCGTGACACCCCAGGCCGGGTGTCATCAGCCGGGAAGAGCCACGCTCTCGATTCTCCAAGATGCCAATATCGCGCACACAAAACACTACGACACAGAATCGATCAACCGGCTGCGTACAAACGCAGAACGGAGAACACGCAGCGATCTTGATCGCAGTTCGTCCGTCGGACGCTCGCCTCGTCTCGGCGACCGAACTGCCGCTTCTCTCTCCGTCTCCACTCCGTCTGTCTCCTGCGCTCGCCAGGCTGATCTTTGAATTTTCAAGAAATCGACGGTCACCCGAAGGAAAGCCAGACAACCAGATGGCCGCGCCGAGCAACCCTTCGAGTTGGTAGAGGGTGACAAAGAACGGGATGGTTCGGCTGATTGGCGAATGTGGGATCGAAGAGATCCGGGGGGGCATACCGAGCTTTCGGAGACGCGGGGTGTAAGGGTTGACGCGCGGGGGTGGCCAACCCCACCTACTTCTTTAACGCCCCCAAGCAGAGTAGGACCGCCTCCGTCTCTGGTGTTCCACCTACTACACCACCCGGGACTTCTACAGTCTCGTAGACGAGCCACCCACACAAAGCCGCGACTGGGAGCACCCGACTATCTCTATCGGCTATACACTTCTAAAAAAATCATCCCTATTCCCAGGTAACACGGAGCGTTCTCCGATTGAAGCGTAACTGCCGTCACCCTCCATCTCACCCTTTCGATTGCGCGACGATGCCATCTCTGATGTTTCGTCCGTAGGGGTGAAAGGATTCCACTGTTAAATTCAAAGGACCATTGTCATTGTAAATTCAAGTTCATTTTGCAAATGTTTCACGTTTTTTCACAAAAGCTGCGTCGACGTTAGTATCACAATTGTACCGATAAAAAGCATATTAAAGTAAGAGAATTATTTATACGTAAGACTTTCTGTCAAAGGAGAATAATATCTTTTTTTTTAAACTGCTTCAATGTACTGTACTTTAGAAACCTGTATCTAAAAAGTGATATAATGGAAATATATAATATCGTTTTCCATGTTTTAAAATTGTATGCAGATTATTAATCTCAAAACTTTATATTTATATTTTTAGAAATAATTTTTAAAGTCAAGTTTAAAGTTGTTAATTTCTGGCATAATATTTAAAAAATCAAAGCAACGTATCTTCCTTGCTGAAAATATCACAAGTTCAACACGATTTATACACATAATTCTCAGGTGTAGATTTTAATGCGTGTGTTGTTTAGATGGATGTTTTGTTGCTAATTTTATAATATTAATAAATTAATGTATTATTAATAAATTTCGTGATATTAATAAATTTGCTGCTAACTTATAAACGGATTTACAACGGAGATTATAAAGGGCGATTGTTATACTTCGGTGTAGTCAACATTACAAAGCAGCTCGAGCAAAATTCACAAACGTGAATAATGATCATTGATTTCTCCATTTGATCGTTTTGTTTGAAGTTACTCGTGTGGTAGCAAAAGCTACGGTGAACATTATGCAGGCGTTGCGTGACAGACGATGAAACGCAAAATAAGAATTTTTGTCAGATTGTTAGAAGTGTTTCGAAACAAGTCGTTGGACTTCCTCAGCCAATGGCACGATGATTCATACGATATTAGATTACTCTGAGACTCCAGGCAGCTTCAAAGGGGGCGCACCTCTGCCAAGATTATTTTCGGAAAAATGTGCTTTACACCGCAAAGATTTCTGTACTTCGCGGCAGGTACGTATTTAGTAACTCGAACGTAGTTAATCTTAGGCCAGTATAGTGAGATTTATTTGACCAACCATTCTGGTTGTCCGGCACACCTATTTGTCTTGTCAAGATCGTTAAAGTGTCATTTCCACGAATATCACCCTAGCCGGTAGAGTGCAGGATCAATCAGGAAATCTCGGGGTAAAGAAACATTTGTCTGTATTAACGGGAACGTCGTATTTAATTTGTTTAACATTACGAGAGGCGCGCTAAAATCTAAATCATTTCGTCTTGGCAACTTACTGGCGATAACGCGATAACGTTTCTATTTCCGCAATTTTGGCAACAGCATATTGCTTACCCTCATTAATTACGAAAGAACTAAAGGAACCATCGGTAAATAATATTTATATGCAATTTCTAAACCGTCGGATGACAGTGATTAAATAAGAAACGGCAGGTACCGTTGAACGCGCGTTTCTTGATAGTGATCGATCAGTTCAAAATTTGTACCGTACCATAATCTCCATTTACGTCCTTTCTATTTTTGCCACGACCTAAATTCGATTAAAGTAAATCGCGCGAAATATTCGTCGATCTTGCGCACCGTCCGCACTCTTATGTTTCTATTTAATCCCGATATCTATATTTATAACATAATTTATGAGATTAATAGTGACAAAATCGTACCACGCGTTGGATGTTCTAAGCTTAGCGACAATTTCGAACTTCAAAATACACAGCGATAACGTAAATCCTAAAACGTACGAAAGAATAAAAATATAGCTCTATTAAATAGCGATAACAGTTCTAAACAAATTAACCAAATTAATATTATTACGACAAAAAATCGTGATCTGCGTCAACAATAGAATTGTATAAAGCAGGAGAGATAAAAAGAGAGAAAAAGTGAAAAGCGAGAAAAATTCAAACGTCAAATGTACATTTATATTATATAATATGTGTGCATTAATAAATTATATACGAAGAAATGTCACGATTTTCAATCGATGATAAAAAGGAATGACAAAAAGCTACGCAAATTTGGAGGTACATTCAAAACAAAAAGGTATCTAACAAAAATATAATTTCCATCTTGATTAATTAATCTATTTCCCGGATAAATTAATGAATTATATCATGACGGAAAAGTAAATAAATCACGCGATCAAAACTTTAAAGATAGCGGCAAAGAGTGAATAGTTGTACCGCGAAAACGTGCGTTAAACGGACGAAGTGTTTAAAAGGAGTATTCCAAATTCCAGTAGCGGCATGCGAGAAAGGGAGCGCCGGTGGCACGTGGCTGTCACCAGTGTCTGCAGCGCGATGCAAAGAGCGTCAGAAACGTACGAAGTTGGTGACAAAAAAAATGACACAACTAGCAAAGCAAGCAAACGATTGAGTATAAAAGAGAGAAAAAGCAAAGTAGATAAAACACGAAAGAGAGAGAGAGAGAGAGAGAGAGAAAGAGGGAGAGAGAGGTGAAAACAGCAGAGGATATTTATGTGACGTAGGTGCATTATATGAACAAACGTTCGCGCAGGCAGGCAGTTCAATCAGACATCGGATGACATAGGCAGTGCACCGGAGAAGTGTTGCAGGGGTGAATAAGGCTACCTGGACGGGTCTCCAGCGTGGTTCCAGCATGTCCCGCTTCCTCCTCGTCGAGTCACTCGTGGTCGTCGGATCCTCCGTCCTTCTTTACGTGATAGGATTGATAGAAAAAAAAAACGGAAGATACGAGGCTCCTTCTGGCTTCCTTTGGTGATTTCCTCTATCCGTCGGGACGCAGGCTCTTCGTATTCTCCGTTTCTTATCGCCTCTACCCTCTTTCCTCCCGCCCGCCCCCTTTCGATCTCTGTCACCTCTACCCCTTTTCCGCCTTTCTTCTCCCTCTGTAACCACTCTGTATATTTCTCTCTCTCTTTCCTTCTTTTGCTTTCTTTCACCCCTCTTTGTCTTCCTCTCGCGTTTTTCGATATTTTTTAGAGCACGCGCTTATTATCTATTCACCTAACTGTCTACCTATCTATCTGTCTTTCTCTCGAAGCACCGCGTGCCGCGCGCGCCACGTGTACCGCCGCGACGTTAAAAGAACGATGCCGGATCGGACGTCGCCGTTGCCCCGATGAAAGGAGGCAACCGATTCCCGAAGACGCCGACGGCGACGCCGCCTTTCCCTCCCTCCCTCTTTCTCTTTCTCTCTTTTCCTCCTTGTCTCTCTCTCTCTCTCTCTCTCCGGGGATGAATGCCGGAGGGGGGTGGCGGCGGGAGGCCGCGGAGGACGCCCTCTCTCTCGCAACCTGGGGCAACGTTCCCTCGCCGTCGTGGAGACAGGCAAAACGTGCGCCGAACGTAGCGGTGCGGGGTTGCGTGTACAGGTTTGAAGAAAAGGGGGTATAACCGCGCGCCGGTGGCTGCCGTCGCGACTGTGCGACGCTCGGCACCGCTTAGCCGCGAAACCCTCCGGCCGTGGCGAGCACGCGGCTACTGAGTCGGCGCATTGCGAGGACCATCGTGGTGTCTCGCTCCCGTCGACGTCGCGCAGCGGCCGTGGCGGTGTCTCCCTCCGTTTGACGGCCACCTCCTCTTCGTCGCTCCATCACCGAACGTCCTCGTCGCACGCGTTATCGTGGCACTCTCGCGGGGTGATCTTCCATCTTTTTCCGGACGATTCTCTCTCTCCTTTGCTCCGATAGAGCGTGGGTGTTTCTCGGCTCTCCGGAGAGAGGCAGTCCCGTCGGTTGCGCCGCGACGCACTTCGGCGATCGTCGCCTGCCGTGCTGACCCACGTTGTGTTTTCCAATTTACATCGCACTTGATTTAATTCTCGATATTCGGTAACCTTCCTCTGGGCCCTTCCTATTTTTTTATTTTCGATAACGAGGAATTCCACGGTGATAATTATCAATAATAGAATAGCTATTTCTAGAATTTCTCACCCCTTTCAAACAATTATAAACAAAATATTTAAAAAATTAAATTATTTATTAAATGTTTATTTACCTCATGCTCGGAGAAAAATGATTTTGCTACATGAACGCAGGATTGCAAAATTTAATTGTCGAATTTGTTTGCTGTTTATAGCAAGTAAATTTGCATATTTGACAAATATTTTGCATTTGTTGCAAGTAATTTTTAATAGCGAGTACAAAAAAAAATAAATATTTGTTACACTTGCAAATAATTTACAATTCCTACATTTGCAAATAGAATTTGCCATTATGGCATAGGATTAGTATTCATAGCAAAATCATTTTTCTTTCCGTGTAAGATTTTTTTAAATTTTATATTAAAAAATTTAATTTCAATTTTTAATGTTGTTATTTTTTAATACTATATTATATTTTTAACATTATAACCTATAATAATTACTTATATTACTAACATATTAATCTCGACCTTAATTTTTAAATAGGTTTTATACTTTAATTATTTCATTGCCGAAATAATCAAATATACATAGCGTGACGAACATATGTAAATAGTACAATAAACATGTATAAATGCACTATCTAGCTAATAAAAAATTACGATGCCTTGAAACATTATGTTACGGCAATTATTTTTTTATTTAAGAAAAGACTTGTTATAAAATTTCAATAATAAATACAATATCTACAAAGAATTTAAGTTCAATAAACTATCATTTGGCACATCTTTAACACGCATTACATATTAAAACATGCTGCATCTAGATGATTGACAAAGTCCCGTCATCATGAACGGATCTCCAACATCACATATGGTAGTAGTATAGATGTCCATGTAGTTATTGTTATCGATTCGACCTACTCCTAAGACCAGACTAAAGCCGACCTGTTCTGATGTATTCATCATGCTCAGCATAATTTCCTATTCTCCTGCTTGAGATGCCCTCGAATAGCTTCGACGCGTCCGCTTCTTATTCGCAATGTAACCAAATATTAACCGACATCCTAATACCGTTTAGTTCTTTCCATCTAAGATTTGCTATTGACAAAATATTAAAGCTATTGCAATTCGCTTGACATGATTTTGCAATATACAAATTATTTATCTTATTTGTCATGGAATCTAACCATTATGTCATTATATTATTTATGGAGAGAGAGAATGCACGATTAATTACGAAAATAATATCTAAAATCGTAATTTAGATATCAATTACATATTTCAATGAACTTATTGCTATTGTATTTTTAAAAATCTAAATCTATATGTAATTATTGTATAGGTATTACATCGCGATTGTATTATATATGTTCGATTATCTGACAATGAGTATTCCAGTGTGTATAATCTACTGACAGCTAACTTAAAGTTTATATTTAATCACAGCATTTTGTTGTATATCTTTTCTGATCTATAGTTGTTTTTCAAATGTCCCATCTTTGCAAGATTACATAAAATGGTAGGAAAGTTTCATCGAGAGAACGTACAGCGAGTAAGATAGAAACTGTCAGGGCTATAAATCGGCGCGATAACTAAAGATGGTCTAGTGACAATGTCGGAAAAGCAGGTCGCGGGTAGGTAGGTAGGTAGGTACGGACAGAACGCGACAGACTTCATAGTGGTCTAGTTTGTTGTTGTTTGTTGTTGTTGTTCGCGTTGTTTCTCGCGGCGGCACCGAACCACGGCACAATGCCGAGAGCGTGACGCTGGTATTGATAACAGACCCTCTCCGATGGAGAGAGGGAGAGATGCCGGGAATACCCGTGATTGAAGATACATACATACTACCCCATTTTCGCCACGAACAACTTGCACTTAGAGGATCGTATTGGAAACAGTGCGACGGTTTCTACATTGCGCGGCATCAATACACGTATCCATGCTTTGTAGTGCATCTCGCTAAATTCATTAACGATTATTGTGAGAAAATGATTGTTACCTTTTTGCTGGCTGACCCATATTAAAGAGTTGCAAAGCATCTTCCTGGAAAAAAAAAACATTTTAATATTTTTATTCTGTCAATAATCAAAAGAATGTTTTACACGTGTTGTAAAACAATTTTATAGTATATTTAGATATAAATCTGTATTCTGTATAACTTTGTTTTTCCTTTTGGATGATAAATTAAGATTGATTGCTACACTGTCCAATAATCTCGACAATACGCGCATCAACAAAAATTAAAATTATTAACGTACTTGTCGACATACGATGAACTGTTCTAATTTTGCACTCGTGCCCAGGCGGAATCCGGCAGAGCCGGCAGAGTGCAGAGAGAGAATTGAATATGAAAAAAATGACATCTGGTTTAATAAACAGCGAACCGGGCCGGACTTTGTGCGCTGGGAAATTGTCGGCGCCGATATTCGACGAGATATCACACAAACACCGTCATCCCCTGATGAAAAGATTGTCAATAACCTCTAACACCTGTTGCGCAGTTTAGCGACGGATTTTATTCTCACGCGTGGGTTATATTCATTTATTGGTTCGCGGATTTGACGGGTCGCGTCGCGTCGCGTTGCGACGCGTTGCGTTGCGTTACAGCGCGTCGATACACGAATGACACGAAAGCCTTTAACGCGAAACACAGCTGCCGTGTGTACCGTAATAAAATCATATTTCGACAGAATTTTTTAATAAAATACGCGAAATGTAGCGGCTATTCTGTAAAGGGTTGTAAACTAATTTTACGTGTATTCTCGCTTTTCTGTGCGCAAGTACGAGCGCGTTCATGGCTTTCCCCACGAACGGATAATTTTATTCGATGAACATCGAATTTTAGACGAGTTTATCGATGAAAAAATGTAATCACAGAGAGTTGCGGAATTATTATTTATAATACGCTTTTAACTTTTAACTGATTGCTTATATTACATAATTATTATTCTGAAAATCTATTACCTAACTCCTTTCTATTCCTAATTAACTAAAATGAATTATACTATATATATACACACATTATTCACAATAGTTTATTAATAATTTTTATTATTTTTTATTGCAATATAACGTATTTATATAGCTCATTAATTCGAATATATCTGTGAATATGAAATTATCCTCACATTCTGTTCGACTCAAAATCAAAAACGGAAAGGTTTGGAATTCCTTAACGTGAGACTCGTGTCGTCCCAGCCGCAGCATGGGAGATGCATTTCCTAGTGTTGTTGATTTTTGCATAATTTATCAAGGTTGTTTGGTTAAGCGAGCCGTTAGGGTGAATCGTAGGGGTTGCTGAGCTCGGGAGTTACGCCATGGGGCGACAATTTCAGACACCCTTCGCCAAGATGATTAGCATCCACGTCAGGGACGGATTCATCCTGTTGTAAAATGTTTTTAAACATCGCGTTGAAATCCATCAATCGACATAATGATAGAAAATACGACAAACAAGTATAACGATAAAGATCTATTACTGTGGCATAAATCTCGTGACATTCGTTTAAAGTATGTGACTGGAAAATCTGTTATTTAATTTAAATAAAATTATTTTGATGCATTTATCATATTGTATAATATGATTTTCTAGGAGTTTACACTGTAGATAGCTTTGGCCAGCGACGTAAGTAACTGCTTATAAACATAGCATATCCGCGTTCAATATCGAAGTCAATAACCTACGTCTGACTACACGTGTCTGAAACTACTTGCGCCTAAATTTATACGTGCATCGCGCTCTCCTCTTCTCTGTCATAATTTTGAATTAATAATGTCCTCGGTATAATTAATAGCCTTATGCAATTACAAAATCTTTAAAAGAATCAAGATTACATTAATAATAAAATCAATGTAAAAAAAAAATAAAAGTTAATAACTGTAATTTATGACATATGACGGGATTACATCATCCATATAAAAATAACTTTGCGTCATTAAAGGAATTACTTTAAAACTACATAAAATAGAAGATTAGAAGTAAGACAATTCTTCTAAATATTATATAATATTAAAGTTCATGAATTACTTTCTACTTTCACATTAATTGATTTTAAAAGCTTCAATTGTATAACAGTTGAAGATTGTTATAAAATCATTTCTGTAAATCAAAGTAAATTCATACAATAAAATTTAATTATATACAGAATCCAATTACATAGAATAGTTTCTTTGTAATTATACACAGAGAGAACTTTGTATAAAATCAACAATTTAAAGACGTAATATATTTTATGTAAGTCTTTTATAAATATCTCTTTTATAAATATCTCATATTCTATCATCAAACACTCAATTTGTCAAAGACA